TCCGTTTTTATACTCTTGCAACAAAGTTGCTAAAGAGAGTATTAAAGTTTTGTTCACATAACGGTTGTTTGGAAGGCCTAAAACTAAACGAGTCAGATACAGGGTTATATATACCAAAGTGATCAGGGTGACGAGTAGTGTTGAAATCCGGATGTCTGTCTGTCTGTGCAAGCTGTAACTTGAGTAAAAATTGAGATATCATGATACACGCTCCATAAGAAGGTTAAGTTCGAAGATGGGCAAAATCGGCCCACTGCCACGCCCACAAAATGGCGAAAACCGAAAACCTATAAAGTGTCATAGCTAAGCCATAAATAAAGATATTAAAGTGAAATTTGGAAAAAAGGATCGCATTAGGGAGGGGCATATTTGRCCGTAATTTTTTGGAAAAGTGGGCGTAGCCCCGCCCCCTACTAAGTTTTTTGTACATATTTCGGAAACTACTATAGCTATGTCAACCAAACTCTACAGAGTCGTTTCCTTCAGGCATTTCCATATACATTTCAAAAATGGAAGAAATCGGATAATAACCACCCCCACCTCCCATACAAAGGTTATGTTGAAAATCACTAAAAGTGCGTTAACCGACTAACAAAAAGCGTCAGAAACACTAAATTTTAGGGAAGAAATATCAAAAAGAAGCTGCACCCAGGCTTTCTTTAAAAATTGAAAATGGACGTGGCGTCGCCCACTTATGGACCAAAAACTATATATCAGGAACTACTCGACCGATTTCAATGAAATTCAGTACATAATAGTTTCCTAACACCCTGATGACATGTACCAAATATGGGTGAAATCGGTTCACAACCACGTCTTCTTCCAATATAGCGCTATTTTGAATTCCATCTGATGCTTTCTCTGTATAATATATCCATTAGGAACCAATGATGATAGTGGAAAAAAACTTTACACAAATACGGTATTTGTTGCGAGAGTATAAAATGTTCGGTGACACCCGAACTTATCCCTTCCTTACTTGTTTAATTTATAAAAAGAGATGCCGTTTTGTAATATTTGGTGATATAGTATATCATGACATACTATTATACTTTAGATTATTATTGTAGCTCATGTTATTGAACTCTCGAATTCCTCAGAATTGTGCTTGTTCCCCATTATAAAATTTAAACGAAAATATTGTTCAAGAATGATTATTATCCAGAAAGTAAACCCTTTGATATTTAACACTTTTTGTTTCTCTTATGCTTTTATTTCAAAATGAAAATAAACAAAGCGCTCCAATTTCTGACATTTTTTATTCGGATGTTGAATATAAATATTTTCAAACATACAGCCATGTACATAAGTGTAGAATGTTCGCTAAAAAACATTTTTTTAGTTATTGCATATTTTTCACTTCATGATGATTTAGGAATTCAACAAGTAATTTGGTAAGTACATCTTGAACTCGTACCAGGGTACAATACGTTTGTTACAAGATTTGTAACATCAAACAAAACAAATGTAGGAGACCCTATAAAGTTTATAAATATGTATATAGCCATTTTCATCTGCTGTCCGTGTGTTCGTCCGGCTGTCTACCTATAAGCGAACTAGTCACTCAGTTTTCGAGATATTGATCTGAAATTTGAACACATTCCTTTCACTCCAAGAAGTTGTTCTTTTGTACGAACGGCGATAGCGGACGACTATAGCATATAGTTGAGATTTAAATGGAACGATAGGAATAAAATGCTAGTATGGAAAACTTTTGCAATCTTCGAAGAATCGGACCAGTCATACAAATTAAACGATTCGAATCAAGTTATTGTAAGGAAGCATTTGTATTTGTGAAGGGCATTATAGTTTCGAAGTTAACGTTTTTTTTTTTTTTTTATAATAATATGAAATAGTGACAACTCTCGGGAATTGAAAACATTACTTCGAATATTTTACATTTAAGTTCAACTAAATGGTAAAATTTAATTCATTTGTAAATAAATTTTAATGTATCTTTGTCATTGAGGGCGGTTTCTAAGTGGTGGGTCCCAAATTCAGCGCACAATCCCGCTAGGAGAGTACTTGCGAGTTTTATACACATTTATATAGCAAGCGGCTGGTGAACAGACGATGCAATTCGACTTCAGCGATCACTTAAACCGAATATGATGCATTCGATCCGCTGAAGACTCCTAATTTTTAGACGCAACACCAGGCTCCTCACGTGATCGGTACCATATTGCGCTTTCGCTTGCACGGCGGGGACAGAAGAGTAGGATTTTAACTGCTTACCCGGTAGCATGATTACACCTCATAATCTCCGCAAAGCTAATATGACAGTGTAAACTCACGCTGAGTGCCAACTAAAAGGTTTGTTAGGGTCGGAAATGACCTATCCGAGCCGTTCAATATCAAGCGAAGTTTTAGACAAGTAATACCAGCTGCAGAGCTAATTAGAAAAGGTACAAGATTTTTTAAGAGTGTAATGTTAGTTCGGCTCTCTCCAGACTGGTTAAGGAAGCGAAGAAAATGGATCTGGTAGTGAACGACGACAAGACGAAATATCTTTTGTCATCAAACTAACAGTCGTAGCACTCGGGACTTGGCTCTCACATCACTGTTGATAGTCATAACTTCGAAACGGTGGAAAATTTCATCTATTTTGGAACCAGTATCCGTATTAACATTAACAACAATGGCAGCCTCGAAATCCAACGCAGAATAACTTTTGCCAACAGGTGCTATTTCGGACTGAATAGGCAAGGTAGAAGTAAATTCCTCTCTTGACTAACAAAGTCCACACTCTGCAAGTCCCTCATCCTTTCCGTCCTGCTATATGGTGCGGAGGCATGTGCAATGGCATCATCTGATGACTCGACCTTAGGAGAGAAAGGCTTTGCGTAAGTTTTATAGTCCTTTTCGTATTGGGTAGCAAAGCGGACAACTATTCACCAATTGTCTTACATAAGACGGATGTTAATTGATTGAGATATAAATGTCGATATCTTCCTTCAGATAATTTCTCTTCGAAATAGCCGCAGATCTTGCTAGATACTTCTTATATCGCCATAATACTTCAACAAAAGTCTGGGTCATTGCACTACCGGCTTTCTCAATGAATAAGAACGGCCTCTAATTGCAATTAATTGACTAAACAACAACAAACAATTACGAGTAAAGCGATTAAGGCAGCAGTCATATTAATTGTAAGCTGCAGATGAAAAATAAATCTGTGGAAATCTTAATATACTAGAAAGAAATGAGAGAGAGAAATGGGAAAAATGGAACTTTCCAAACACACAGTTGAAGAAAAACACTTGCCGGTGTAAAATGTAATGAGGAAGAGCGGAGAGTTGACGACGAACGACGACCGCATGACCAGCGAGAATCACTTACGTGCCATTAGAAAGCCAGCGAAGTGCATACACAGCTTTATGCACACACAAATGTACATATGTATAGTATACAGTATTTGTGCGCTCATGCAGCTGTTGCCCACTAAAAATCGGTATCTTCTGCTGTTAGTCATTTGACGCGACCAAACGGAAGATAGAGCAAAGCAAAATTATGCGCTTAGCGATAACATACAAATGCACGATTTTTCTCATTTTTACACCATTCTTTACATGTACAATTTTTTTCACCTCATGATTTTCACATGACAAACAAGGTGGACGGGTAATAATAATATAAAATAAGAGCGCCAAATTATAGTTCAGTTGAGGAGAGCAGCAGCGTTGCCCGTTTCACTGGCTTGCAATTCCTCTTTTTATAGCTTATTATTTTTCGCAACAAATGTTTTCTTTTATATTTGCTTCGGCGGCAGCTGCTGCTCGTAATTTTATAAAAATTAAGTTTTGAGGTTAGAAAAGGCGCTTTGCATGTGTGCAAACGGGTGGTCGACCTCGTGTGCACACAAAAACAGAAAAAAGTAAAAAAAACAACAACAAAGAAATATGAGCGAAGCAATTCGAAAAAGAATTTCTCATTTTTGTTTGCTTTTGTTTTTGTTATTGTTTATAAATAGTACCGGAACACTACAACTGAGCTAATTATAAGGCATTAGAGAGTAAAATTTCTCGAGCAAAAAATAACACAACAATGAGGGGAGTGTAAAATAGAAGACAGACGTCACGTATTGTGATGAAATGACTTGCCAAGTATTTGCAAAGCCACGAACGCAAGAAAAAAATATTTAAACAAAAATTACGAAATAGAAATGTGTGAAATTCTTGCGTATTCGATGGAGCTTTTGTAGGAGATTGAGAAGTATTAAGAGATTAATAAAATTATTTAAAATTAAGCATGTTTTGAATATAGAAATTGTGGGCTAGGTTTGTTTTTAGCAATTACAAAAACAAAAACAGAAACAAAAACATATATTGCTCACACATTTGGTAAATAATTTTATCTGCTATAAAAAATATTTTTTTATATTTGTTTTC